CACCGATGGGATTAATGGACCCTTCAAAGGGCCTCACTTTCTAAGTGGGCCAACCGTTTCACACCTGAAGCCTCCATGTAACTTCATGAGAGGCACTCAGGGTACCGACAACTGTTTGCCACTCTGTCCTTCCGCTAGTGCGAGACACTTACTTTGTTACAGGTACATTGGAAAATCTGTACTATCTATTATATTACGTTCATCTATATCAAATAACTTTGATGAGATTCTTCTTGAACCAGGATTATCCAATCAGTAATCAGGATGCAAGTCTAGACATAAACCGCTAGGTGGACGTTTGTTGACATTTCCCAAAAAATTTGTATTTTTCTGTGACAACATATTTTCATAATATACCGAAGCAGCTGAGTACGCAGAAGCCTAACCCCCGAGGCACCGCGGGTGCTACAACGAGCCTGAAGACACTCTGTTGATCAGATCTTTTTCATAAATTTCTTGAGGCTTTTGGTTGGATAGCACACTGTTATTATTACAAGAAAGAATACTCCATTTTGTCATTTTGTATGTCCAATTTGCGCACGAAGCCTGATTTAATTTTTATTCTTGGAATCATTTTACCTTTTTTTGTTACTCGATTACATCGTAATTTTGAACCCTGCATTTTTTGCAATCAATCCAAACCGTCGCTATTACGAGCTATGCATAATAATTTGCACTCCAAAGAGATCTTTTTTATACGCGACTGCGACTGCTATAAGGGTCTCAAAGACGACTGGTTAATTCAATTCTTGAACTGCCTAAGGTCAGCAGAACTGGGAAAAGCTTATTTCAGGTAGATTGTTCTACAATATCGATACCCCAAAAAAGAGGGAGAGGTCGTTATGGAAGAGGGGTCTGAAGAAGGAAGCCGGTTGGCATAGCGGTAATAATAATGGAAATTTATTATCCATCTGACAAATTCGCATTAGATTTGCCAAAATAAATATATACACGCTAACGAAATCACTGATGCCGTAATAATATTTATCAAGTAAATAGTCTGCCTGAAGTTTATTATAAGCTCTAGGTCCTCAACACATTGGCCACTTTCTTGTAAAATTAGATTGGCGGAAGAATAAATTATGTTTGTTCGAGAAGGTAAATATAGCCAGCTCGTAAATGAATAACGGGGGCAAGGTGAGTAGTAGTTATTTATTATACAAAGAAAAAGGTTTTTTTCTGTGACGGGAGAAAACGACGATTTATTTTGAAAAATTATATTATTACAATATTTAAGTCAGAAAATTGTCAACGTGAAATTTGAATTTTGAAATTAGTAGCCTATGTTGTACTTATAGCGACAATTAGACCTGTGTTACTAAGGAAACTTTTAAGGTAATCAAATAGCTGAAAATTTAATTTTGTTATTTGATTTAAAAATTGTGAACTGAGTGGTTCTTTAGAAGTTATTCTTAATACTATAAAGTACTATAAAGTCTTCTTTGACTCCACAGGAATGAGTAGAAGTAGCCTAAGTAGCGTCACAAAAATTATCGCCAGCTAAAACAGGAAAATTTACGAAACCACGCATTCAAGATTCATGGAATTGAGGATGAAAAAACATGCAGTACTTTGTCGGAGACGGTGTTGTTGGCTTATTTTTCGGAATATTTCAAACTAATTACATTTCTGAAACAAAATGGGAAAGGTTACAAGCCTAAGAAAGCCGCGATTTTTACGAGTGCACAAATTAGTGATTTTTCAAATAATGCTCTCGATGAAGTCTATTTAATGTCTGTGCGAAGGAACTCTAGTCTGTCCGTTCGTAAAGCCGGGTACTCATTGACGAACTGCAACTGTAACTGCAACCGTTACTGTATCAACATCGTCGCGAGGTGTAACCACAGATTATACAGATGCGACACCTGATGTCAGTCTCTTTGATCTTCGTGTCCTAAGTTGCTTACAAAATTTCCCGCTTCTGTTCAGAAGCGTCCGGAGAATTTTTTCCTGGGGGTTGCTACGCGTTATTAGCCTGACGGCACGAATGTCATACATTAAGCCACAGAATGAAGAAATTTTGCATTTGTTATATCCCAAATTCATTTAGGCAGATAATTGATTTGTATTGATAACACTGTTTTCTGGAACCTGTCAAAACATTACACGGATAACCTTTAAGTGTCACAGCAATAGTAATCCCACCAATGCATAGAACTCAAGTAGGCGTTGATGGAACCTGAGTTTTGACAGAGTGTCGCCTCTGGCAGAGTACTTTGTGGTGTAACGTTATTGCTTCTCGTGAACCTCTCGAACCGCAGTGCCCGCAAGGAGCTCGAGTCGCATCGATACCAAGAGAAATGAGAGCCAGTGGTGCATTTATTCTGATAGATGCATTGATTGAAGAATATAAACGTCCTCGACGGTAGTGGCCCCTGTAATGTTCAGAGAAGTGGATCTTTCATTTCTATTTCAAATTTATTATAAATAAAAATTACTGTTCCAATTCCAGGACTTTTATTTTTTTTGCCTTCTCCCTTCTCCAGGACGTCAAGATAGTGACGATCTTTTTCTTACAGATATCTCCAGTTGTGCCAATTAAAGAACCAATTTCAGTCCAAGCACCTTCTTTCAGATGTTTTTTGTAATAACCGTGATTTTTTGGATCCCATATTACAGGCATCTTTTTGTAATTTTCAATTAATACCAAAACCTTATCTTGACCCCACGTGCTCATATTGTTGTTGCGAGATCAGCAGCCGTGCACGCGAACCCCCAAACTACGTCCACGAACCAACTGAGAATCTCTTTGTGTTCGTCCTGAAAACCGACAGGTGGCGGATCGCTGCGAGCGGCTCTACGAGTGCTCGAGAACTTAGTTCGCAACACGTCTGCACCACTGAATTTTCTTGCTGTAATGGTTGCAGTTCCTCAATGAGTTACCCGGTTTAAGGTATCATCGGTCCATCTAACAGCCCTCCTCTGAAGAGCATCGAATAAGGCCAATGTAGTGGGGCGGCGGCACCCAAACATGTAGGTGGTATTCGAGGCTACGTCTTATCTGTTCTTCGTACAGAGTAGAGAGATTATGCGGGGAAAAGCTGACCTATATGAATTCTTTGATCTACACCTATATGAATCCACGTCATAGGCGCAGTTCGCATGTATGTTTTTGAATACTTTTTTATGTCATTGTCGATGAAGCCTAATTTGTTTTAGACCAGAGCGGTAATAACGGCAGATATTAAATTTCAAGGTAAATAAACTAAAGCCATCTTGCTTGTCTGATTGTATACATCAGAAGTTCCCAACCAGGGGGCATAGAGAGATGTCAAGGGGGGCGGACAGCGTTTGCATTTTAGAAAGAAATAACAAAACAAAAAATAAACAAACAACGTTACAATAACATTGCAATGTAATGTTTCATTTACACGCATAAATTAGAAATTAAATATAATATTCAATTATTCTGTCAATCGTTGTTTCAAAACCCGACGTCGTCAATCGTAGGTTATACACGTTTCGACAAGTCACAACCTAAAATCCGCGCGCACCCCCGCCACGTTCCGCTTAACATTCATCATATAGAAAATAATTGTGTACCTACCAGACGCGGATGACCATCTGTGACACTCATTCCCACAAACTTGGGAAACATTTGACGTCTCGTTGTACATGTTTTGTTGAGAAATCTGTTTTAGTGTGTCAAATTATTGTGTCTCACTGTTAAAAGGTCAGCTTGTGTATTTACAAACTTCAGTTACCATTTTTATTTAATTTACTAAATTGTTGATTGGGTGGAGACGCGTTCATAGATCGGCCATTGGGGCTTTTTTACCACATCACAATCCAACCAACGTGGCGAAATAATTTTGAAACGACGAACTTTAAGTACCTAATATTGATTCCAAATGTATCTAAAATTACTATTATAACATCAACCTGCCTACAAAAATATAAATTTCATTTGTCTAACATACTGTTGAATACATTACGTTATTAGATTAAAATAAGGGACATATTATAATTAGTAATTACATGTAGGTATTTGCTTATTTATTCATACTTGTTAGGTTTTATTGTTACAGGCGGCGAAAAAAAGAAAGTTTTCCGAAGATTACGTTAAGTTGTCATTACTTTCATAGAAAAAAGACGAGTTACAATTGCCTCCCTGGGTGATATGTATGAAAGTTTTAAATAATGATAGCATGAGGCCCATTCGCCTTGAAATGCATTGAAGAAACAACATCCTGCTCTGGTTTTGAAGACGAAAGTGTTTTTCTCTTCTGAAGCAGAGTCACTCAGCAGATGTTACTGGATAAATCGGAAAGTTATCACACAGCAGGTGTATCGCAGCATCTCAAAGCTTCATTTGAAATAGCTTTTATGATAGCAAAGCAAAAGAAACCTCATACTATCGGTTAAGGATTAATGAAACCATGTGTCCTAAAAGCCACGCAGAGAACTTTAGGAGACGATGCAGGGCAAAAATGAAGTCTATTTGACTTTCGAATAACACAGCCAAGCGTAGAATCGATGACATTGCAGCAGACATAAAGTCACAAACAATTAACAAAGTAAAATTATGGCCATTAGTTGCGGTAAATCCACCGACATCGTTAATTGTGCACAGTAATAGTTTATGTTCGTTACATGGGCGGAGATATCATTCAAGAAGAGATTTTGTACTCCTAATCTTTGACAGCAGGTACTACATCTGAAGATATATTTAATTCAATATCAAATTTTGTTGAAAATAATGATTTGGATTGGAAGAAATTCATTGGACTTTGCACAGATGGCTCACCTGCAATGATAGGTGTACGATCGGGCTTAGCTAAAAAGCTCAAGGAAAAAATCCTGCAATGATAGTACACATTGTTTTATTCATCGGCAAGCTTTGGCTTTCAAAACATTGCCACATAAATTACGCCAGGCTTTCGCTATAAGGATTGTAATCTACATCAAGAGCAGTGCTTTGAACAGTGGGTTATTTACTTTACTTAGCAAATGATCTCGATTCTGATCACAATGTTGTTCTGGTTCGATACAAAGGCAACATGTTGGCTCGCCTTTATGAATTGAAGGAAGAGGTAGTTCTTCTTCTTGAGCTCAAAGAAAAACACGATTTCTTGACACTGTTCAAAGATGACACATTTCAATGGAGGTTGGCTTATTTCACTGACATATTTGACTCTTTGAATGAGCTAACTTGAAACTTCAGGGCAGAAACAACACTATAATAAGCAATTATGATTATATTCAGGGGTGCATATCAAAGATTTAACTTTAGAATCAAAAGGTGTTTTTTGAAAATGTTATATCTTTTTCTCGGCTGCTTGAAGCAATTAAAATAGCATGCTGGATGCAAATTTAAAAGCTGACATAAAAACTCATTTGAAAGCGCTGGAAGATGATACTATCGAGACATCATTCAGAATCACCAATATGGCATATGAGAAGAAATCCATTTGTTGTCGACGTGTCACAATTACCAGAAGAAGTTCACTAAGAAGAAATGAAGGCTGATTCGTCCATAAAAGACGACTTCCATCTTTTAACATTGCAGAAATTTTGGATCAAATGGTTGCCTGTTAAGTCGACACTTGCCTCTCTTGCTTTACGAGTACTAGTTCCTTTTTCTTCAACTTACTTATGTGAGACGGGCTTTTCAGCTCTGGTTTTAATTAAAACTAAACAGCCAAATCGTCTCGATGTCGATAGCAACCTAATGATAGCTCTGACAAAACAGAACCTAGAATCAACCAACTGGTACAGAACATGCAATCTCAAGTGTCTCATTAGCAACTACTCTTATTTATTCAAGTTTTTAGATAAAAACATTATTAGTTTATTTAAACTTTTAGAATTAAAATAAAAGTCTGTGTGCCTATATAATGTGCATTTTTGTTTTTATTGAAAAAGGTATATATCCCGGACTATAAATATATAATTTATAGTCCGGGAAGCTTCAGCAAAACATAAGTGTTGGGAAACCCTGGTTTACATTAATACTGATGGTTAAACCTACATTTGTCGCGTGATAAATTTAGCATAGTTTGGTTGCGTCGGTCCCTGAGACCGGCTTTGCTAGGTAGAAAAGAGTCGCTTATTACGAAGTAGGTTTGACTTTTTTTGAAATAAAAATGATAATACTGCATATTTTAAACCAGTTTTATTTCAATTAAAAACATATCCCTACAAAATAGCAAGCAAAATGCAAAGAAGAGGTATCTCTAAAAAGGGGTGGTAAAAAAAGTGAAGAAAAAAACATTGCTATACTGAAGTATCGAAAAACGTTATAGAAAGGTAAACTGAGTTATTTACAATCGTTACATATGCCAAATAAGCGTTCTAAGCACAAAAAAACACCACAATGTTCGCATTTATATTTTGTTTTGCGGTTTTTCTTAGATCCACAAGATTTGCATCTTCCAATTTGCCCTCTTTCAACTGGAGTGGTATCTTGGTTTGTTAGTTCTTTTAGACGTAATCGCATGTCTTGGAATATATGGCGAACTGGACCTTTTTCGCATACGTAGAGTAAAAAGTTCATATGATAAATTGTGAATGAAGTTCTTCTCAACACCTCAGCATTCGGATTATTAGCCTAGTAAATAATTTGGCTATTTATACCAGCAATATTCATTAGTGCATAAAATATCACTACAGGCCACCTTTTGTTACCTCGAGCACAGTTATAGTTAGCAATTAGCTTGTCCACTATATCAACAACACTTTTTGTGGAATTATAATCAGTTATTATTACTGGTTTCAAATGATCACCTGTGTCAAAATCTAAATCATCATTGTGATGCATCGTGGACAAAAGTGACACATTCTTTCTTGCTTAGGAATATATGATACAAGTGTACATTCACAGTGAAATCCAAACATGCTAGACTTTGGAGGTCTGGTTGCAGGTACAGTAAACTCCAAGGGTAGCTCTCGCTTGTTTTTGCGGATAGTACCAATAGCAGTCAATTTTTTCATATAGTTGTCTAAATAATGGAACGCTAGTGAACCAATTATACATTGTGATATTTCTATTGGTTCCTTGAATTCCATCTGAGAGTCTCATGAAAACATCTTGAGCACTGTTTGATACTTTATAAGGACCTTCTGGTTGAAGACCAACATACACTTCCAAATTACTGGTATAGTACATTTCAGCGTCACACATTGCTAAAACTTTTATTCCGTATTTGTTTGGCTTTGACGGAATATACTGCCGGAAATTACATTTCCCACGAAAACCCAAAAGCATTTCATCAATTGTGACAAATTCCGAATTATGATATCCTTTGCGACATCGTTCTACAAACAAATCAAAAATATGTCGGATTGCAGCAAGTTTATCCTGTTTCAATCGATCCTGACAAGAAGCTTTATTATCAAAACGTAAAACTCGCATCAAAAACCTAAATCTTCTAAGGGACATCACTAACCGAAATATTTCTATTCCAGATCCGTCAGCTTTCCATAAATCGTCTAAATTGAGATGACTTGCCTTGTACTTTCCAGCTAAATACACAAAGCCCAGAAGTGCATAAAGTTCATCTGAATTTGTAAAATTTGCATCCCTGTCTCTTGAAAAATTTGCTTGAATACTCTCAATCATTTCGTTCGTATGTAGAACAATAGTATCAATAAAATTTCTTCTGAAAAAAAAATATTACCAAATTTCTATGGGAGTTTTCAAGTTTTTTGTGTATGTACTTGGTCCTGGTAATACTTTTATGATATTCTCAGATCTGGTCTTAGTATTCTTCGGTAACGGAGAAACTTTTTTCCATCTTGTTTGCTTATCCTTACCCAAAAAACTTAGGGTACTGCTGAGTGGTGGCTCGAAATATGTGATGTTAGCTTCTTCGCTTGAACTATGAGCTTCTAGAGGCTCCTGAACGAAATCTGCTTCATCACAGTCCGACTCGGAATCCAAATATTCTTCACCTTCGTCGATAATTTGGTTGGAGAAGCAACTTTCTAACTGATGACCGGAAATCTCATCTTCGTCAGAATCATGGTCCGACTCAGTGTCTGTGATAGTGACTGTTTCAAACAAATATTGAAGTCGCTGTTGTTCCTTTTTATAAGTATATCTGTACATCTAAAAATACCAAGATCATAAGATAACGCCATGTGATTACAGAAATAACTTAATTTATACACCTTACCTTGTTTGCGTTAAGTGTTTACGACAGTGCATAAATAATCGCGTCGGTGCCTGAGGCCGATATTGACTGTTGACAGCACACTATCACACTAACCAATGTTGCCGCAAGTCTAGAAGAAGCGTTGAATGAAGTGGGGGAATTCCTAGAGCGGCGTACTATTGCAAGCATATTTGGGATTTTTACCTGTATTTTCAGTCTTCGTCGGTCAGTGAGACCGTGCACGACTATTGGAGGGTTAATTGCGATGATTGCCAGTATCAGCATATGAAATATTCTATATCCACTGATAGTCTTTATAATGGAGCAGCCGACAAGGCCGGAAGGAAAGGTCCTAAAAATATCATGGTGATAAATTTTTTAACTCTCTAAGCTTATAGAACTTATTACCCCTGTAATGAATTAGCAATCTCGATATCCAGGTCTCTGTACACAGAGCTTAACGGTGTTAAAATGAGAACCACGGATCTGGTACTTTCCCAGAAAATTAGTTTGCTCATATCCAGCTCGTGTCAAAAAAGGATCCAAGGTCGACCGTTACAACTTAGGGCTCTGTTTTCTGTGACAAGTGAGGTGATGCAGAGGTGCATGAATTAGCAAAATGGTGAAAAGTGCATAAACAGGGTATTAATCTTGAACATCACGGTTTGGTTAGCGTCAGGCATATGTTTTTTGGCACCAGCGGTCACACGGCACACACTTGTAGAGTAAGCACACCAGTCACATCGTGAGGCTCAAGCCGTCGCTCCTGACATCAAGAAAGCTTGCAACCAGCTATAACATACTACCTTCTTACGCAAGCTCCCATCCGATGACCTCCCAGACAAGCCTTGCAGATGGGTGGATGGCTTTCCTTCCATTTGACGGCTTCTCTTATTCTTTCCACAATATCAATGCGAGTGTTCCCCAGTGATCGGTCTCGTCCTCAAGATATTGTTCTATCTCATATAAACGACCTCCTTTCCTATACGGTCAATCCCTACAGCTTTGCCGATTATAGTACTCTTTGCGCTGGCATTCAGTGTGGCGAACTAATCTCTGCTGATAAGATGGAGAGGAGAAGGCGAGTGGCGACTTCTTCTCTGTCGAGAAACCTGGAAATTATCACCGCAGCGCAGATGGAATAATCTGATACATTTTAATGCTTCCAAATCACAATACTGTACCTTGATTAAGAAGTGCCCTGACATAAAGTTTCAAGAGATGGCAGAGTTCTACCTAAGATAATTTTTGTGTGTAGATGTTCACTTTAGCCAGTAGCTTTTCCATGACCATGCTATGTTGGATCCTATCAAGTAGGTAGACTTTGCGAGGCGCGTGATAGCAATTGACATCGTCCTGAACAAAAAGAATCCGTTAGAGCGGGTCCGACAACGCAACGAATCCAGGGATTCGAATCGCTCCATGAACCCGGGCCGCCCTACACGGTGAGGACACACACATCAATGTGTGTGTGTCCTCACTCTGTAACGCTCTAAAAATGAATATTTCAGCCGCAGTAAAGAATCAACGTTGGCGGATTTTGGTTCTTGACATCCTATATGATCGGTTACGATGCCTAGAGTACGGAGACCTGTACGATTTCGTCAACTTAGTGAGTTTAATAGGGGGCCGTATAGTGGGACTTCGGGAAGCTTGACCTTCTTTTCGGGCAATTGCAGTTAGAGTGCAAAGAAGTATAGACACTGTGGTTAGGTGTTGTCAGGCATGGCATCGAGAAGGCCGTACGCAAAGAGCAAGGGGCACAGGATGCCGCCGTAGAACAACAGACCGTGAAGATCGCCGCCTAAGATTATTGGCCTTAAGGGACGTTTCTCCACTACCAGGTCCATTGTAAATGAATGGTTTGCAGAACACGGAAGACCTATTGGCATGCGAAGTGTTTACCAACGAATGAGAAGTTTTGGCTTGTTTTCATACCGGCCACACTGGGTCCTCCCTTTAACTCGAGAACACCGACGTAATCGCCTGGAGTGGTGCAGACAACGGTCACTCTGGATCAGAAATGGAACAGTATTGTCTTTAGTGACGAGTCTCGATTTTGTTTAGTCATGCACGATGGTCGTGCCAGGGTTAGAAGGCGACGTGGTGAAAGGAGGAATCCACAGTTTTTTGTTGAAAGACATGTTCATCACATTGTTGGAGTTATGGTTTGGGGTGCTATAGCTTATAGTTCCAGGTCACCTTTAATCTTCATCAGAGGTAACATGAACGCGCAGCGTTATATCCAAGAAGTTCTAGAACCCCATCTTTTACCCCATCTTGACACCCTGGCAATCCAACTTTCCAACAAGATAATGCCCGACCGCATGTTGCAAGAGTCACAATAGACTTCTTTCAACATAATGATGTCACATTGTTACCATGGCCACCAAGATCTCCCGACTTATCCCCAATTATGCACGTGTGGGATATGATGGGTAGGATTTGCAACGTCCTCCTCAGACTCTAGAAGCACTTCGAGAGAAGTTGGTGGTTGCCTGGAATGAGATACCACAGGAGGACATTGACCACCTGATCAGAAGCATGCCTAGGCGCGTTGGAGAATGCGTAGCACATCAGGGTGCATCCACACTTATTAAAGGTCAAAGGGCTCTAAAGCAGTGCAATCATTTTGAAATTTTTATCATTTACTTATTATGCTTCATTAAGTACTTATACAAAATTTTATTAAAATTTATATGTCACTTAGTATATTACCTGGTACTTGTATTTCTTGCTAGCATTGTCGCTACGCTATGGAATCTTATCTCGCGCCTTGAAGTTCACATGTTAACATCCTCTGTATCAGCGTATTATATTTCTACTGCATTTTACTAAATCCATGTGTGAGGAAATCTTGTCACTTCTTGTCTAACCGTCCTGTTTTACGCATCGTCGTGACAAGGTTTCACGAAAGTCCTTTTGTACCGTTAATCAAAAAAGTTTTTTTATAAACAAGTATTTCGGTGGCAGTAATTTAACTTGCATACTAAAGAAAAAAGCTCCTGCAATACCGTGACACCCGTCAGCATCCCGATAGGAGACTCCCTTCTGATGCCGAGAAAAATTAACTGATCCCGTCGCACAGTGAACTAAAACACCCAGAAAGCTGGAAAAAACCCCTGTCGCATCATCACGAAATTTGCTGCGGCAGGGTTTCTGAGGTCGCAGATTTCAAATCTCCTGTCAAAACCAGAAAGTCAATATGGCGTAGCCAATGTGACGTCGGATCTTGGAAATAAGTTGTTATTATGATGTTTGATGGGAGATAGGATCATTATAATCTTATAGTGATTGCCTAATAGCAAGGATTCTTTAAAAAACATAGGAAGATTATATTTCAAATATATCAAACAAAAAAATAGGATATGATTATAGTACTACCCGAAGTCTTTATAAAAATTGATGCCTCTAGGAATGAATCGCAGCTTAAATAGTTTATTGATTAATTTTGAAGATTTTACCCCTGTGCTCTTAATCTTCTATATATATTTGTGATGCATACATGAACTTTCAAGCACTCGCAATGGTCGAATGTTTTTTATGTTTTAGTTCTTTCACAGCTATCAGCAGATCTAGATTTTGATTCATTTTCTTGGGCCTGTAAATTCTATTGTGCGATTAGGCCACTCTTTGTATCTGATTAAAA